AAACCCCCCCCAAAACAACCAACAACAAACAACAACGACAAAAAAATGAAAAATAAACCACCCCCAAAAGAAACCGGTTTTAATTTTGAGCAGGACACTGTGTTACTACCAAGTGTTTATTCGTCTAAAGTCGTTACTATTTTAAGTAGAGGAACGTTTGACATACGACAATTTTGAAATACGTTGATTTGTGTATAGTACGAAAATGAGGTGTAAAAAAAAAAAAAACCACTAAAAAAAAGCAACAAAAAAACAACAACAACCAAACCCAAACAAACAACACAGATCAACAAAATAGATTAAAAAAAAACAAACAAACTATTAACCCCCCCCCCCACCCCCAACAACAAATGAACAAAAGAGAAGAGAAAAACCAACCAGTGGCATGTGAACATATGGGGTCGACAAGACTAAGCCCAGACGAACGCAGAAGCAAGAGGTGATGTTGGTGGTGGTGGTGTTATTGTTGACGTTGTGGTTGTGGTAGCCGCTGAAGTTGCTGCTGATGCTGATGTGGTGGTAACGGCTGTTGTGGTCACTGTCATGGTGGTGGTAGTGATGATAGTGATATGTGGTGGTGGCATTGACTGTTGTAGCAGTTGTGTTTTTTGTCTTGTGGTTAGGCTATCGGACCCGTAATCGTGAGATTGAGGATTCGGGGGTTCAAGCGTCGGTTCGGTCCGACGTTGTGTCCTTGGTAAAGTTACTTTACATGAACTTCTTATTTGGCTCGGTTCTTTCAGAGATAGTCGTTTAACCGCCTCTTTAAAAACCTATTAGTGTTGATAGGGGCGTTTAACCTACACCATTTCACCATTTAAAAAAAACACCAACAAAATAAAATAGTGATAATGGTGATTGTTTTAGTCAAGACGGCTATCCATTGTGGAGAAGACAGATGAGTTTTATTTTAGATGGACGCTTTGACTGCTTCATTATAATAAATTTAAAAAACAACAACAACCACCCCCCCCCCAAAAAAAAAGACAACAACAACAACGACGACGACGATGATGACAACAGCAGCAACAACGAAACCGCAAGGGGGAAGTGGGAAGCAGTCGTATTGACAGGTGATTGTCTTAGACAGGTGGCCGTCATAGCAGCTCGCACAGTAATAGACTCCCCACGCGGAGATAGAACTTGTGCTCTCCATTCGTTTTAGTAAGAGTTTTACGGCACTAGCAACACACTAAGGTCATATAAGTACCGAAGATTAGAGGTGTTACAAGAGAGTAACAAATATAAAAAAAGAAGGAGGAGAGATCAGGACGAAAGACGTTTGATAGGAAAGAAGGAGCAAACCACACCAGAGCACCCGCCAACCATCCGCTTGTGCTCTCCGCATGCAACGACCAACAGTTTAGCTACTACACAACAGACGTCAATTAGAATAGAGATTCATATTGTTTTCTTTTTTAATTCAATTGTATTATTTTTCTTTTGGTAAGTGTTTTATGGCGCTCGTAACAGCATAGGGTCATAAATATGAGCGCACGGGACACATTAAACATTTGTCAGTTGGTAGGGAATTTTGAATTTTGCCCGGGTGGCGACCGAAGCCTACTCTTATCGATTTTGAATCACCAAGGGAGCGTTTGTTAAGGTGCGCAACTTGCACAGGGACCTCTGAAATTTTTGGCCCTGATACGAGAAGGCTAGGTCTTAGATCTTACCTACCTTAATATTAGGGGCGTGGCTGAAAGACAGCAGTAAGAAGGAGCCAAGGAGTAGCGGTAGAAAGGCTGCAGAAAGAGTCAGGAGCCCAAAAGAGCGGGCAAAGGGGGTGGGGATGGCGGTGGGACAGAAAGTGGGGACGAAAGCAGACGATACATCAAGGTTAGAGAGTAGAAAATGATGTGAAAGGAGAAAATTTTAGAGAAGAAAATTTCTGTCGCTGTCAGGTTTCGAACCCGGGACCCATTGAATAAGAGGTGAACATCGTCATCTCTAGACCACGAG